AGCGTTAAGCTTACCCAAGTAGCGTTTTAATAACCCATGCCAATAGTTATTGTCTTCTTAATAAAACAAAGTAATTTTCGTATCAATTGCGATAGGAGTTTAGAATTAATGTAATTCGCAGATATTTTAGTATAGAAGTTTAATTTCCTTTCCATTGCCGTATTGATGTTCGCGCAAAGAAACGTGGGAACGATTTCGCTTTACAATATTACTCGGCAGCGGAATATTAGATTGGAAACGGTGCGGTTAGCAACTAAATACGAGTATACTAACGCATTCGTCGACAGTAAACGGTATTTTTGAATTGTATAAATAAGGCAAAAATGTTACAAAACACTTCGATATTGCGTTGAAGACCTTTTGTATGTAGTTATAGTAACTAAAAATATTTGAGTTAATAATGTTTGTATGTACGAATTTTATATGCCGGTATTTTGTATATAAAAAAAATTGTAACGTCGTTTTAAATCATAAGTTTTAAAATTAAGGCAAAGATTTTATAAAACATTTCCGAAACTTCTATATTGGGGTGAGCATGAGACTTTCGGTGCCTAGTTGACCGGCGCGGCGGATCTATCGCGAGGGTCATCAGATTTAAGGGGCATGATTGAATGAGTGACGCCAGGGTCACTAGGGTCGAGCAGCTGCAAACGAATACTACGGCATATGATGATTCACTATAAGAGACATTGGTTTCAGCAATGCCACTTATGCTTGTCCACAGCAATATGGGGACATTAAATCCAAACAAACCATCAATGGAAAACCATTAAATACTGTATGTAAAATAGATAATAAAAAAAAAATAACCAAATATTTTGTACACCTGATCGTGTTCGCTGAATTTTATGGAAACTTGCAATTTACGACTCCTTGTGGGAGATGATAGATACTTATAACATCGTATTTTATTTGGGTCACTAGTAGATATAGTAGTAGATATGACACTATCGCGCCAATACCTTTATTAAAGCCTTTATTAAAAGGTGGCAACGTATTTGCAACGCAACCCTACGGCTGATGCAAATGTTATTGAGCGGCGGTTATCACTAAACATCAGGTAAACCATCAGCTCGCTTACCACCATCTCACATAAAAAAAGTTCAAACTACGGCAATTTGCGTAAATTGGCTAGCGTACGTCAAATGCGTTTATAGACTGCTATCTCTTTCTGTATCATACGTTCTATGTCATCTGTTACATTCCCTTACATATTTCATAATATAATAACGGAAATATTTTTAAACGCCGTACATTATAGGCATGCGTCATCTTTATTAAACCATTATATTTATTACTCAGAAGCCAATGTGCTAATTCAGTAAATAAAATATTACGAAAGTCTAAAATTATTGCGAAATGAAAATGTGTGAAACCTTCGGTCACGAAAACGACAACGAAATGATTTAAAGGAGATAATTTCGAAGACCGATTGTCTGATGAAATTAAGGCCATACAAAAGAGAAGACATGAGTTTCCATGTTAGTTACTTTTGCCATTTTTTCAACCGACTTGAAAACTTATTTTTTTTATGTTTGTTACCTCAGAACTTTCGACTGGGCGAACCGATTTTGATGATTCTCTTTGAACGTATGACGTTGACGACCCGAATGGCGTAGTGGGTAGTGTACCTGCCTCCTATTTATTTACAAAAGAAAATATGTTTGAACATGGTTTTTTCTATTGTCTGGGTGTTTCTATATGTATAATATGTATTTATTTACAAAAGAAAAGTATGTTTAAGTCTGTTTATCAGTTTTCTAGTACCCATAGTACAAGCTTTGCTTAGTTTGGGACTAGAAAATGTTGTGTACAAATGTGATCTAAAATATTTATTTATATATTTATTTGAAAGCTTATTTGTGCTTATATATTTATTTGTGCTTCCCACGTGGTCCCATATTAATTTCATTGGTATTGCTTGGGCTCCGGATATACTTAACCGGAACTGCAAAAAATCAATTACAAAATTAAAACAGCGCGATGATTGAAGTCGGTTTTGTTTTTCGTTAATGAAAAGATAGACTTGTATACAAAATATTCATCATGATTTAGATCAGCTCCTGTTCTATGGGAGTGTATAATTGAATTAAATAACGTATTACATAACATGTAGTGCCTCGGAAACTTGTTCATATAGAGCAACTTTTTTTTAAATATCACTGGCCAGCGTGTGACGCATTATATTTACTCTGGGCGATTAGCTTGATTGGTGCAGAAAGCGTCACAGACGTCGGAAGTAGAAGCACGACGCAATTGTTTAAACTTCGCCGTGCATTCGGCCAGTAACAGGTGAATAAATCAATATCGCTAGTAACGTTATCATTATCAGGTGCGTTATCGCACGAACGTACTATATCGAGGTCTGTTGGGAAAAAATCCACAAGAAGCGCGTGCTATTTTACCGTATGTTTTTCACACCTGTATATATAAATTGTGTCAAGGATAAGTTTGCTGGGAAAGATTTCGTCTCTTTAGCTTATTGACTGGAGAAGATTCTAAATTTTGTTGTATTTGTTTACGTTTGTTACCTTAGAACTCGGTCGTTTACGAAATTGTTGTCATTTACGTATTCTTTTTTGTCATTTACGAAATTTAATAAATTCTTTTTGCATAGGGTTCGGTTTACCTTTTGTGTTTTCTTATCAATTTGATACATGAGGGAAGTAGCCTGCCACCCTACGGGTGTTACAAATGTGAACGGGCGGCGGTTATCACATAACATCAGGTGAACCACCAGCTCCATGACACAGTCTCGCTTAAAAAAAAGAAAAAATGCTGATGATGGATGCATGTGGACGCACTGGGTCGAGATTATGACGCATAGTAGCGAAAGATAAATGAAGACGATTTATTTTAATCATGAAATAACTAGTATTCAATCACATATTGATATTCACAATACTAATATTCTTATTAGAACGGAACTTTGTAATCATTTTTTGAATAAAATGAGAGCAATTATTTTACACGGAAGAAACTAAAATTAACTGTTATAATCGTTTTGAAGATCGACGTTTTGCGTTTCATATTACTTTCGCTTTTGTGTTCTGTGTAGTGAGTAAGATAACCTGGGTCCAATTTCCAAAAGGTTGGTGACGTTATTTGGCAGTTGTAGATGGGCGGTGGTGAACACCTAACAGTAAAAAATAAAAATTACATAAAAATTATGTGTAAAACACATAATGCGACAACTACCTATGTATAAAAGGAATAAAGATATGTTACATATTTTATACACGCATTTATCAAGTGCCAAACTAAGTAAATTGTACTTTGATATCATAAACATACTTTTCGTCCGTAAGTACATTACATAAATAAATAACCCCCAGGCCCTCGAAATGGACTGTTCATCGCATAATACTTCAACTACTTCTAGTAACGGGGATCGAATCCAAGAAACATGCTCAGTATCAAATAGGTCAATACAACATAGTGGACTCTAAAATTATAAGAGGCAGCACTAATAAGATTCAACACTAAGAAATGAACAAACTAATAAGATTCGCGTAGAAGGCAGGCGCCATTGAATGGCTTATCGCAAATGTATAACGTCATTGTTTATTTCTAAGATTAAGTCATGGGTACGGTATTGTTATACTAGCATGTGAAGCACGATTGATAAAATTATCGAAGATATCAATTCGTATATTAATGACATACATACAGTTTAATCTATTTATTCAGATGCAGAAAACACTCTATCGTTTAAATTTTTCTTTTGTTTGCTATATCGAAATACTAGTAACCTGCTAAAATTTTACCAAAGTTGCCAACCATCGGTTCAACTGACTACCACCGCCACATGTGAGGAAATCAAACTACAACACGTGGGTAAATACATTGTTAAATTTTGAAACTGTTGGTTCCGGTTACTTCCTCACTCCCTAGACGAAATGCAAAAGTATAATAATACTTCCACTTTTCGCTGAAGTTCTGCACGGCTGGGGCACTTTCGCGAAACAGTCTGCCAATCATGCAACAGAGAAAGCTGTTCCGTGGCCCTAACACATAAAAATCGTAAGCCTAATAGTGGTAACAGCGTATTCCCAGTAGACCATTTTCTGTGCTGAGTGTATTTGTCTCGTACTAGACATATTTTATCTGACTAACGGATGGACGTGAAATGTGGCAAAACATTTTCAATTTTTGCTTATTTTTAGTGTTTACGTTGATTTTAAAAACTTGGTCCATAAGTTCAGATCTGTCCTTAGAAGAACCGGCAAAAACTGCGTTGAAATTGACATCCTCTATCTTATAAGACACGATACTATAACACGAAGAAAACATTAACACATCCAGAGGATTTGAAGGTGTAAAAAAAAACATTATTTTAAGCGAAGATGCTTCAAGCAACATGATAGCAGGTAGGTACTTTTAATTCAAATTATTCTAATTCCATCTTCAAACACCGAGATCAGAGAGCATCCTCGGACAAAATGTGGGGCAGTACCTCCGGATGTGCGCTGCTGCACATTTCCTGCAGATAGGAGATGACTAACGGAAAGAGAATACCGCTGACTCCACCGACACGTGTTCTTTAGTCTTATATACCAGGCGATATTAACAAAAATAGATGAACTGATTCAATTCACTTAACGACTGAGTGACGAATAGTCAATAAGGGCCGAAATTTTATAGGTTAGGATTTTTTTTTATGCGAGGAAGTGGAATACGAGCTGGCGGTTCACCTGATGTTAAGTGATTACCGCCGTCCATGGACATTTGCAACAACCGTAGGGTTTGCAAAGCGTTGCCACCTTTAAATGAAGTGGTCCCCGGCTACCTCACTCATCCACCAGACGAAACGCAGAAGTGTAAACTTCTACTTTACGCCGGTCTTCTGTGAGGTCGTGGTACTTACCCGGACGGACCTGCCCATTCGTGCAACATTGAACACTGTTGCGTGGTCCTATCTCACTTGAAATGCAACCGTTTAAAGAAAACTGATTTATATCTAATATTCAGGGCGCAAACGCAAAACAGTCACTTACAGTATGGCGAGAGGGACGCAAAACATAACGGTAACACCTTATACATGAGTAGTTAATAGGGAAGATTATTTTAGATTTGAATATTTCAAACGTTAGGATACATTCTATAATGACAAAAATATAGAGCGTTTTATTTTCGGTAACACGAAAATGATAATTTTGTTCCATGTTGAGCAAAAGGGAATGTTTGTAGCAAGTCACGAGAAATCACTTGTGTTAAGTTTTGAAACAAAAACTGTAAAAAACGGAATATATTAATAACAAACGGAAATTAAAATAAAAAACTGAAATGTTTAATAACTATTAAAAGGCTTCACACAGCATTTATTTTCATAGAATTTACAATTTAAAAAGTAACAAATATAAACGTATAGGATGTATAACAGAAAAGGACGAAAATGGGCAGAACCGGTAAACCAGTTTTGTAAGTGTCCTCTTCGAAGCATAACAAATAACGAGTGGTTTTAAGTTTTCGAACTATCCGCACAGCAAAAAACATAAGGGTATAGTGTTAAAGATAGTATGATAATGTTAATTTTAACGTAAATAAAAATTAATAAAAAAAACATTACATTTTTGTGATTTCTTTACGTGATAAAGCGATATAAACAACAGAAGTATAGGGATACCGTACTTACCAATGCAAGTAGCTTTCCACGGACGGTAATTCCAACCATAGGAGCAAATTTAACTTCTACTCCTGGTTCGATCGCCAATTCAGCTCCTCTTTCCACTAGGAAATCATCTCTAAGAAGATATGGACTCCCATTCAATTTCCACAATGTCCTTCCACCGGCTATAACACCTCCGGATAACTCAGTTAGTCCTAAAGACTTGTTGAGTAAATAAGGATCATTTCCAGCATCCCCTAAGGCTTGCCCATCACAAATATACACAGAACACATTAGAAACACTAACACTGTCCTCCATTTATATTTTGTATCGCTAAACTGACTATGCCGCTTTTGTAGTCCCATATCTTTACAACATTCCATTATTTGCTAACTGAACACAAAAATATTCATTTCACTTTTGTTAGCACTCCTTGGATGAACACCTATGGAAATATCACGCAAGAGTTTATACTGTTGTTCTGGTAATACATTGTATCACAATAAAAATATATATCTAGTAATAATTAATGCTTTACAAAGAACTGCGTATCAAAACATCTAAACAAAGGTGGGGTGGGTTAATACGGAAAATAAGCGAAAACGCGCGCTAAGGCGCGACCGTTGAACAAAGTCGTTTGGCCGGTTTTGTTTGTGGTTGTACATGTAGTTTCCTCCTCCCTGCCCTCCCACCTGCTTCATACGTTTCAAATAAACAGCCTTCTCCCTCCTCGAATACAATATTCATACATTCATTTTTCCGCTCCTTTCACTTCAAAGTAACATTCACTCAGTCTAAAGTTCTCAATTCTTTTAACGCTACATTAATTATAATTAATCAGCTACTTAAAAATAACGAATATTTTATTTTTATTTTACAGCTAACATAAAATTAAAAGCGCTTTTTAACTAAATTACAACCTTGAAAACTATTTATGTAATTTTCAAATATAGCAACATCAGCTTACACAAACCTTCATTCAATCCATAGCGCTTATTTGTTCCGCCTCTTATTCATTCACTCTTCAATTCGATCAATCCGTTTTTCGTTTTGTTTCATATTATAATAAATAATTACATATTTACTGCAATATATTTATCTAAAATATAGTACTTTTAATTCAATTCCTACATAAGAATATATATCATCAGTTTGATACACGTAAGTTCATGTTTTCTTTGTTTAAAAGAGCGTGTGGTGTTGGCGTGGCGTGGCACTGCCGCGGTGTCGACATTTTGTTTGTTCATTGTATTTATCTATTTATGACACTCACACTTGCCGTTACCAATTTTAGATATAAAAGGCATCATGAGTTCGGGTGGAACACGTGTGTATGTCGGTGGACTCGTTGAGGGCATAAAAAAAGAGGACCTGGAAAGAGAATTTGACAAATACGGCAAATTGAACTCCGTTTGGGTAGCACTCAATCCCCCCGGATTTGCGTTCATAGAATTTGAAAACATGCAGGAGGCAGAGGATGCGTGTTCCGCGATGAATGGCTTCGAAATGTTAGGCGCGACACTTAAAGTAGAATTATCAAGAAAGCGCGACGGCCCACGTCGGGGTGGCGGTAACTTCAGAGGCGGTCGAGGTGGTAATTTCAGGGGCCGCACGTTCGGTGGCCCACCTGGAGGTAACAGATCCTTCAACTCTTCCTTCGGCGGCGGCGGCGGCGGTGGTGGCAGGCCTTTCAATCGCAACGGAGGCCCATCATATAACAAGTATCCCTCTGGCAATAACATGAGGTCTAGGTCACCACTAGAGCGCATTTAATTTAATTTTAGCTTTTAGTTAGGTTTAGTGTTATCATTATCTGAAGCCTTCCAAGTGTTTAAATTCAATGTCTGTCTTTACGGGGGGGTTTAATGCTGGGAAGAGTTCCATTGACATCAATGACCTAAGGAATTAGAGGTAATTGTTACACTTATTTTATTTTTGTAAAGAGGTTTCTGTATTATCGATGCCATATTCTATTGATTACTGTAATCCAACTTCTTTTATAGAACAATGCTACAGGTTCAAAAAATTCATCTATAATATTTAAAATTCTTTACTGTATGCATAAGCAAACATAATCTTAAGCAAATATGTTCAATTTAAATGTATGAAAATGTTTAGAAGTATCTCGAAATAATTGATAGCGTTATCTCACTCAAATTACTATTAACTAAGTTTTCAATGTGTGTAGTTGCATATTTCCCAGTGTGCTTTATATATAGTTGCTTGAACATTTATATTAAAAAAATCTTCAATTTTTGGATCTTTGATATTGGTTGAAAATACCTGAGCAAGATTGCATTGTGAAACACCAGCAAATTACTTGATTTGAAGCATAATAGGAAATATTTAGTACTTAGCTACAGTCAGAAGTAGCCAAAGTATGATACAGTAAACAAATCAGTCATAAAATGAATCAGTCTCTCCAACCCCTCGAAATTTTAATGTATTTCGTTAAAGTATAAATAAAACAATCTATTGTGTGTAGATTAGAAGATTTACCTTATTATATTTAGATTAGGTAGTACTGTTTGAAATGAAGCTACATGTATGTCACTTAACATCCAATTGAATAATAAACAGTAAGGTTAGAATTTTGATAGCCAACAAGATGTGTTTCAGTAAAACTTGTTAGCTAGGGAATAATCGGACATGAAATGAACTCAAAATCACCAAATTGTAATAATTCAGTTATATGGTAATTGAGATTTTATTCATTTAATCATTAATATCAAATATGGTAAGTACTTTATTGTAGAATGTTAAGAGGTCACTGTGTGCTATCATAATGACAAATACAATCAATAATTTACTTTGGACACAATATATGAATGCTGCAGAATTATCTTTTTATATACAGAGACAACTTGAAATAAACTTAGCCCAAATTTAATACCGTTTCATTGATTTTATTTACATATATGAGTTATGTAATTAGTCAAAACACCTCAACTCTGGATTAATCAATAAAATAAACATTAAACTCCTATTTATCTTGGACTGTTTATAAATTTAAATTTTCATACCAATTTTTCTTTTTAATAATAAGGAACAGCTTTAGGTAAAAGGAACAGCTTAGGTAAAAGATTATTTTTCACACAATTTGTAACTATTATCTAACTTTTATGACATAACTACATTTTTTTTGTGTACATTAAATGGACATTATAGTGTGCAACAAAAAAACTAAAATTCATTTGTGTTACTAATTGTTTTTAACATTAACGTTGCAAATGAAACTAATTTTACGGATTTATTGCATTTATTTTTAATTCCTGACGTTTTGAACCCTTTACAGCGTTCATGATCACAGGACAGACTGAGTGGGAATTAAAATTAAAAATAAACGCGGTAAATCCGTAAAATTAGTTTAATTTATTAATTCAGTTTAATTGTTTCTAATCCCAATTTTGTTTTCAGTTCCTTGGAATTTCTGATCTCGAGTCGACACTGGCATTGAGATATAAATAAGCAAGAACAATCTTCAATGAATAATTAAAACATTTTACCTAAGCACCTACAAATTAAGACATCTACATATAATTATAATAAAAGATATGATTCTATTGAACTGTTTTATTTAATTCCTTAATAGGTAATTTATGCTGGCTTAAATGATACATTATGATGGGCTACTTAGGCACGCCATCAACAGTTCCATCTTATTCAAAAAGTTTTTGCCTTCCATTTTGTCTAATTTAATTTCTTTGAATGCACCACCAAGATTTTCCCATTTCTTATCCTGCACCAATTCACTGGCAAAGAAGTCCTTTCTTGGAGATTGAGCTATGAACACTTGGATACCTACAGATGGTTCACATCTAATTGCTATCATCCTGTCACCTGAAACAATTTTTAAATAATTACATTAATGTATATAATAAAAGAAATTATTAATATTCATATATTATTAAATGGTCATGATATACATATATGTAATTTAAATATGTTTTCATGAACAATGTTTATATTTTCAACAGACAAGTTAAAATATACTTTTATTTTGGTGTCAAATTGATAAATATGCCAAATTTGGTAGAGAATATTATACTTATTAGTTGATTTATGAGACACCAAAGGATATCAAAGTAGATTGTTATAAATATGGAAAGTGATTGTTTATAAATTATTATATTTGTGATTGTTATAAATATAAAAAGAAAGGTAGGTGACAAACATTAACTTAGCTTGATCAGAGATAACTCATGTCTATAGAAATACCATTGGGGGAAGCCAAGAGGCAAGAGGAAGCGTTGCCGAGAGGTTCCACTGGCCCTGATCCAAGGTGAGCGCTGCTGGCAAGTAGCTGCCAGCCCATACAGCGGCCCACCGCCTGTACCGCCGTCATCTGGTGCTGATAGGTCTGTTGGCAAACACCACAAACATATTCCACATTATACAGCATCATTTATTTAATTGGGCATATTTTGTGAATCCTGAAACCAAGGTATCTTGATGTTATTTTAATAAAAATATAACTTGGTTTGGATTATCACCTTGTCTCACTGTGATAACTCGTTTAATACTATAATTCATAACCTTATGTATTTGCAGTAGTTCGGAAAAGCTAATTCATGTCTCGCTTTCCAAACTTAATTTTCTTAAATATGATCCATAGTCCATTTACCACTTGGGTTTAAATAAAATCAACATTTCCCCTTTGAGCTTTTTTCGCCAATCACGAACAGTTGTCAACAGTATTCTAATAACAAGATGAATAACTTGTTGTTTTCTTATTCATAGAGAAAATTGAGGGTCAATGAACCTGGCAATAGATGAGATCTCTTAGCTCCTGCAGCTCGTACGAGAGATGGCGCACTTTGCCATCTCGGCAGATGCACTTGAGGGTCTTCTCTCCAACGTGCACCACCAGCGAGGTGCGGCAGACTGCGTCGTACCTGGACAATAATAATATGTCTGACTATGAGCACCGAAGGCAGATTACCTTGTAGTTCCACTTCCATGTAAATTCAATTGATTTTTTGTGTGATACATTGGGTAACTGCTCGCTTACCAGGCGGCTATTAACATTTGGGGAGGCAGATGCGTTACCAACTTAAAGAATTAGGCCCCGACTAAACAGACGCATCTCCCATCGGGAACACGGGCGTTTTGCGCAACTCAACTTTGAATGACCGAGGAAAATTACCACCGACAATCCCGCGTTGCGATGCTACGATGCTGGAGGTTCAATTTCGGCAAAGTGCAGTTCGCAGAGCACTCTTTACCTTGGACATTCATAAGTCGAGTGGGCCCGATGTTATCCCTCCGATCGTGTTGAAGACATGTACTCCGGAGTTGGCAGCGGTTTTGACGCGTTTTTTCCGGCACTCCTATTCTGTAGGCTTAGTTCCGAAATCCGAGAAGGCCGCTTTAGCACCCGATCCCTAAGAAAGGCAACAGCTCGGATCCGTCCAACTACAGGCCTATAGCCATCACCTCCTTGTTCTCCAAGATAATGGAGTTCCTCAATAACTGCTAGCTCCTGCGGTACCTAGAGGAGCACCAGCTGATTAGCGACCGCCAGTACGGATTTCGTCGAGGTCGCTCAGCCGGTGATCTTCTAGTTTACCTAGCACACAGATGGACAGAAGCAGTTGAGAGCAAGGGCGAGGCGCTTGCAGCCAGTCTGGACATAGCCAAGGCCTGTGATCGGGTATGGCACAAAGCACTTCTTTCGAAGCTGCCTTCCTATGGGCTTCCCGGGAAGTTATGCAACTGGATCACCAGCTTTTTGGCCGATCGAACCATCAAGGTCGTCGTCGACGGTGCATTCTCTGATCCTAAATTTGTCAAAGCCGGTGTTCCACAAGGCTGCGTATTGTCTCCCACTCTGTTTTTTCTGCATATCAATGACATGTTGCAAATCAGCAACGTTCATTGCTATGCAGATGAAAGCAATGTCGATGTCTCTTACACTGGCCGCGCTAACATTTCTCGGGAAAACGTCTACGAGAGCCGGAACAAGCTTGTGTCTGAAGTTAACGAGTATCAGACTGGGGTCGACTAAACTTAGTCAAATTCAACCCCAATAAGACACAAGTTTGCGCGTTACCGCTAAAAAGTCCCCATTTGTCGTGACTCCCCCATTTGAGAACACTCCCCTGTCTGCCTCAGCTAGCATCGGTATACTTGGCGTCGAAATCTCGAGCAATGACGAGTTCCGCGGTCAATTGAAAAGTAGGCCAAATTGGCCTCAAAGAAGCTTGGTGTGCTCAGCTAGGCGAGACAATACTTCACGTCGGCTTAACGCCTAAACCTTTATAAGACGCAAATTTGGCCCCACATGGAGTATTATTCTCACCTCTGGGCGGGCCCCCTATTACCAACTTCCATCCATTTGACCGCATCCAACGTAGGGCAGGGCAGCTAGGGTTATTGACGATCAAAGTCTTTCCGATCGGCTTGATTCTTTGGCTCTGCGTAGAGATGTTGGATCACTCTACATCTTCTACCGTATCTATCACGGAGGTATTGTTTGGATTGACCCAGCGGCTGAATTTCACCATCGGACATCGCGCCAAAACCAAAAATTCAATCCACACCTCTATGTCCAGCGTTCCACAACAGCGCGATTTTCAAGGCATTTCCTGCCTCGCACAACCGCTCTGTGAAACCAGCTGCCGCCGGTGATCTTTCCGAATCGTTACGACCTGGGAACCTTCAAGAAGAGAGCATACTCTTTGTTGCAGTTTAAGCCCTCTGGTGTTGCAAGTGTTCATGGGCGGCGGTGATCACTTACAATCAGGTAAACCTTCTGCTTGTTTGCCGCTTTTTTTCTCATAAAAAAAATACGTGAAACGAAAGTATGACACTTCTTATTCAAGTCAGTCTTCTGTGAGGCCGTCGTTCTTCTTCAGACGATATATGAAACAGCAGTAGCTCCTACGGCTAACACAGTAAGACCTAGAACCTTTTCCCACTGTAGCTAACTAGATTAGATAGATATTATTCTTACTCTCTATACTACCACATAATGCTTATAAGTTAAAAAAATTTCACAGGACGCATCAAAGAAAGTTGCCAACACATTGGCATCTTTACCGTTTCTGTTTAAAAAGATCCTTTTAGGAAGTCCTCGTAGGTCATGCTTAACATACTCAAGTGTATACCACTTACCCATATGCTACAATGTTTATCTTGACACAAGACTGTGTTGGGCTGTTCAGAGCGTTCCAATGTGACACAATCAACGGGTCCTTCACCTGACAAACAACAAAACGAGTTATAATAAACTATTTTTCAATATCCTGGCTATTTCTACTCAAATTGTCTTTTTGTCAATTCTTTAAATTCAATAAAATAAAGAGGAGAACATTTTAATACTTATACATTTAACTAAAAATTCTTAACATCATTTGAATTTAAGCAAAAATTTCAAGTAAAATAATTAAACCTCTTTTGCTATGGTGTCCAGGACATATTCGCTACGTCTGCGCATGAAGAAGTGTTGCGCTTGTTGAATGATTTGTTCTAAAAGGGACTGCTCTTTGCTCATTTCCAATAATTCATAGCGGTCTGCTGCCATGGGCCCTGTTATAATCATATTTACATTATTACTTTGTAAATAAACGTAAAATACAAAAATAATTAATACGTTTTTTATGCATTTTTAGTAAGAGCGAACGCCATTTTTGAACAAAGGACTTTTGTGGAATAAAGGTTTATGTTGCACTTGCCACAAAAATTTTGAATGTACATTGGTTTACAATTAAAGAGAATTAGGAAACTATTCTTCCAGCAAAAAAAAAGCGTTAGGCGGGTAATAAATGAACAGCGATATAATACAACAACAAAAGTAGACATGGCGACAGGCGAAAGTTCGAATCCAGTCAAGATTGAAAACATTTTTGTTCAATTCATTTAAAAAAAAAATATTAATAAGCAATATGCAAAAATTTACTTTAATATAAAATTTTTAAAAATGTTAGATTATTAAAATATGTAGAAAATTAAAATGTTAGATTACATTATTAAAAATTAAGGATTTTTGTCACCAAATCAAGTGTTGGTGCCACGTCGCCTCTATTTGATCTCATGGAAACGTTAACATTATCTATACATATTTGTAGCATGTTGTGTACGCATCGTTTTGGCTGACAGTATGTAATTGTTTACTTTATTGAACTTTATTGTGATGTGTATATTACTGTTTGCTGTTTTGTGTACCGAATAAAATAAAATAAAATAAAATTTACTCACCAGCCAGTGAACGGCGTTTTGAGGGACCAAGGGGACCTGTTGCTGGATGAGGGAACGGGTGGTGAGTGTTGTTGTGGTGGACTGCCCGTAGCAGCTGATGCAGCGAATGCTCCAATACGTGGTCATGCTCCGATTTACCGGTGGACGCTTCACTCTGTAAATTAATTTCACGAAGGTTCTGGTTTTCAAATGTTTCTTTAATGTGTATTAGTAAATTTTTTCGCTAAAAACAAGTCGTATCTATTTTTCAACTGATTTCAAAAAAGATACTTGTAAATCTAATATATCGGATTAATATTTTGATGACTCCGTGGCGCAGTTGCTAAAGTATTGGCTTCGGCGTCGGGGGTCGTGGGTTCGATTCCCACACGGGACAACTATTTGTGTGACCCACAGATAGTTGTTTCGCATCTGGGTGTTTGTCCGCGTGAAATTTATGTTTGTAAAACGTCCTTACAACACAGGATAATATTATCCTAAAGTAAGGGCAGTGGATATTGTACAATTTAATTTAAAATTTAAGTTCCTGCCGTTTGAGGCACCAGATCATCCATGATCTACCCTGAAAGAGTTTATGATGTCTAGAAGTTAGATATATACAGCGTGTCGTTACCATCGCGACAATAAATGAACCCACATATAGGGGATAACTTTTTAGAGTTGTATTAAACATTTAAATTCTTTAAACATCAATATTTACCGAGTTATTAAATTTTCCAAAACAAAGAAATTTAGAATACCCTTACCTATAAAAGCGTAACGTAAAGTTCATTTGTAAAGGTCACAAAGCATATGAATCGGTTGAATGAATTTAAAAGAGACAAAACATACTAGGCTTGTAATACGACGCTGTGGCGCGAGTTGTATAGGATGTTACAAATTTTGTTTCTTTTTTACTTAATTAGTTTGTTTGAAAAATATTTTTTTTAATTATGGATTTTGTTTAACGTTCATATTTTTTTATGATTATTGGCAAGTAGCGTTAGACGTGTGTTCATTTATTGTCGCGATGGTAACGACACGCTGTATATGACAAAATAAGCTCTTTCTGTGTAGATTTATTCCCTTCAGTCTAATTAAAATTTCGTTAACAATTGCCATGAGGACATTCACATAATAATATTCTCATTTATAATATTAGTGCGGAATTAAAATACGCTTAGAGTCAAGTAAATTATTACTTACTTTAATTACTTCTGTATTATTATTGTTTTGACCATTGTTATGGCAGAGTCCAATTAACAGCTGAATGCCGGGTAGAACCTTAAAGAAAGAAATAGGACAATTAAAGGAAATACCCTAATAAGTTCTACACACCTATTATTTGTTTTTAATGTTATCTCTGTATTTATTCATAATTAGAAACAAAAGAAACAAGTAAACATGTACATTAAAAATATTAGTGCTGTTTTATTTTACAGACATTTTTTTTAAATGTAATAAAATATTGTTAAATTGGGCGGGCGTAAATCTTAGAAATCTCGTATCCACATTTACAATATTAATATAATTGGCATTTTTGTTTAAAGTTCCTTTGAGTACTTTTGTTAGTAAAATTCACACACTTGCACTTTAGTTTTATAAATTTACATAAATGTAACATGTTTTGTACATTTACATATGTTATACATTTGTTTACATATAGATAAAAAACGCAAAAGAAATCAGTAACAAAAAATACTTACAGTCGCCATAATCTGATTTCCCACTACCATATGCGGTATGGACGCGTCTAACTGGACAGCCTCGGCTGCAAGGCGAGCAAAGAGCTCCTTACAGAATAATACATTCTGCGCTGCTTCCAACTTCTGTTGCCAGTGCAACTCCGCCCCATCACCAGGTAATGTTCCCGGACAGTTGAGTGCTGAGGAGCTTAAGGTAGCAGTCACAACATCTTCTTGCTCTGTGAAAAATGTGTTCGGGTAAATCTATAAGAAAAAAAAAATTAGACCGTCATGGGACACCCAGCAGATGTGAAACATTCAAGTTAATATAAGAAATTATAATAATTTCATACATACAGATTTATAAATAGCAAAAAAGTTAATACAGACCCATTTACTTTAAAATAATTTTCTTTTTGGTCAATTGATTGCCACTGGCACTCATACTATATTAATAATAATTTAAATAATAATATTACTGTTCCAAACTTTTTTAATTACTTTAAACACTTTAATAATATTCAATCTAAAAAAAAAACAATATTAAAACATGTAGAAAAAGTACGAAAAGATTGTCGCCGCTGTGGGAATCGAACCCACGTCTTCGGCATTCGCGGCCTGATACTAGCCACTGAGCTAAACGGCTGATAGCCACAGCGACGAAAATCTTAATGCCTGCTTTCTACATTGTTATTTAGCATTTGAAGCAATGTTTGGCGCATCTATTGTTACATCCTTTGCAGCATACAAACAATTTCGAATATCGTTTTACAACGATAATTCGAACGACAGATATCGCCATTGGTTTTTATAAATTTTAAAGTTAAGATTGAACATTAAAACTTAAGTGGAGAGATTAGCACTATAAAAACTTTAAAATTTAAAAAACAATATGTTTATACTAGCTGTAAACATGTTAAGTATAGTCCGATAAAAATAGTATGAAGCTTATACAGAGGTCAAGAAGCATGTAGTATATGCGGGTACACACATACAGGAGACAGTCTTAAGCGGCGACGTGGAGGATGCATGATGGCATCAGAGCGTCATTTGCCGTTTTCCATTATGGGAAACCAGCTGATTTTGCCAATGCGCATGGCAATAAAATTAAATCGATTGAGATGTTTCACATCAATAATATTGTTATGGCTTTGATTGATAACAAGTTGTAATTTAAATGACTATTATTACAGGATGTGCGTTTCTATGTAGAATTGCCTCATACCTGCAGCAAATGAGAACTTTATCCTAGAGTGATAATAATACTTTTAAAAAGAATTAAAGTATATTAAATCCAAAACCTTTCTGGCAGAGAACAGAAATGAATGCGACCCCTTGCAACTCTGGAGGAACAGTGACTCTTAATGCTGAGGGTGCTGGTCCAGATGAATTCATACTCATAGCTTGCGCTATTTGCTCTTCTGGAGCCTTGGTTACCTGAAAAACATGATAGAATACTATCAGTAACTTTATTGAACAAAAAAATAAAATAATATGTTAAACCATATAGTAGATAATATGTGCTTTTTAAAATAATAATTAAAACAGTGCTAGAAAAATGTTAAAATTAGCAGACTTTTTATAAGCTTGCATATTTTTTAATATCAACACTGAAAAGTATTCTGATAGATGTGCACAATTATAATTTATTGAAGTTATTGTGCCTGGATTAATGATGTGGCCAATGCATATAGGACTAATTTTATTACAAGTATCACCTCAAAAACGCCTGTCTGACTGAATTTAGAACCAGCAGTTCTGTAACTCAAGTCCCCAACAATAGTGTTGGAAACTTTCTTTAATCTCCAGTTCTGTCTAAGCCGTAACAAGTCAATGTGGAAGTCTGGCATATTCCGTGTCATTCTCATAGTCTCACTGGCACGCAGTCTTTCAACACCAGCTAGCAAAACTGCTCCAGCAGCACCCAAGGCCTTCTTGCGTCCATACACTTGCACCATTGGCCGGTTGTCCACTTGCTCTGCTTGGATTGGATCTAACACCTGTTTAAATTAAAACCTGTTTAATTTAAAACATAAATGACCGGAGTTGCACTTAATATGTCGTTAGATGCAGCCCCCATAAGAAGTACAACTTCAATTTAGCAAGGAGCGTATCAGTGTTTCAAAAGTCTTCTACAATTCACTATGATCTCTTCATCTCACACTATTTTTGTAGCATTTACAAGTCTTAACTTGAAATAAATACACCTGTAAGCAGGTGGTGCAAACCAATGTTTAGTTTTTATGAATATCTACATCAACAAAACTCAAAAGAAAAAACTGTGTTAAAATATAAGTGATATTAATTTTTCCAGAAATTTCCTTACCATGTATCTCTTCTCTTTAGCTATACTTAGAACATCAGCCAACACACCTACTTCAGTGAGTGCATTTCGTAGTTTATTCCTCACAGAATCCCAAGGCCACAAACTAGACTGATATCCCGGCTCTTTATTCTCATCCTCAGATTTGGCTTCAATACTGCTCTCTCCTTCTTTTTTAATGTTGCAGAATTCATCTTCAGTCTTTGAAAAGTCTATTTTTTGTGCCAATCTGGACAGATTTTCTGACATAGACAGTGGTCTAGAAATTGTTAACCATAATAATTGTTTTGATAAATAATTATGTACTAAAATAGTGAATTATTTTTATTGGAACAGACATCTTATTCAAAATATATGTTGATAACATTTAAATGTAACACTCACGCTTGGTATATTTCTTGTCCATCGTATGTTATTTCTTGTATTTGATTTTCAATAGGCGCTTCAATAGATATATTTACAGAATTGGCCATTTTTACTTATTGTATTTTAAAATAAATATTTAGATAAAACTGTCCATTCTCATTGGTCGTCAGAAATCCATTTATGATAAAGGCGACTTTTTAAATTTAAACAGAAAAACTAACTTAATAGACCACAAGGACAAAAATAACAAGTTTATATGAAATTAATGTCAATCTAAAAAAGCGACAGAGCAACCCTTTTAGCATTTACTTGATAACTAAAAGTTTATACTTTGTTTATTACGGGTGTATCTTTTTATGCATGACTCCGATCATTCAGCCGATTTCAAACAGGAAATAAAATAAAATAATAATTGTCATGTTCAAAGGAAAAAAATATTAATAAAATTATTGATTTTGTTTTGGTTGGTTAATACTTAGAATTTATAAATTAATAAAAAGAATTCATTAATTTTTAAAAGTACATCGTTTCTACTTTCTAAATTGAAAATGTAACCTGTTTATAATTTTTGGTGCAAAAATTTACAGACGTTTTTATAAAAAACTAATATTTTAAGTTTTTTTTATTCTTAGAACTGAAAAAAAAATATGTATTATTTATCTGCGTTGCCCCAACCAATGGTTGTCGTGCATTGTTGTTATTGAGCGGTGTCTTCTATGGAAAATACTGCCAAAGTACGTGAATTCGATTCGAAATGTCATGAAATGGAAATATTACTTCAATACCTAAATAATTAACACTTTATAGTGTACAATTTTGTTTGCCTTTTGGACATTTACGCTTACAAAATGACGGATCGTTCCATAGCGGTGAGTGACACCCTTAAGTTAAATTAAAAAATAATACATTTCCAATCGAGTGGAATAACTTCCAGTTCTCATCTCGAAGATATTCATCATGCTATGATGCTACAACTTTCAATAGGTGAAGTCGAAACGAACTAGCTATCCACATAACGAAAAATACTGAATTATGTTTATGTTTTTAATTGGTGCTAAAAGAAAATTGTTTTTTTTAAATGTCTAATTTTGTCTTTTTATTACAAGCTATTTATTTTATACAACATGTTTTTTACATAAAAGTAGGAACGATTGTACAACATAATATCTCACAATATGTGGTCTTTATCAGAGTTAGTCTTCCTAATACCCTGTGTAATTGTTTTTACCTAAGACTTCAAATTATTAACACATGAACTAATAGATGTTTCAATAAAAATAAAACTCAATCTAAGTTATGTTTAATATTTAAAGTAATCATTCTAATGGTAATTTTTGTATTGGATATATCTTAAGAATTCTTTTTAATTTATGACACTATGAAGTCATATTTAATTCAAGTTATAGAAAACAGCAAAATTGAGATGTTTAGTAAATTAGTTTACAAAGTTTACTTTATTTGTGAGTTTTGCTGTTTTAATTTGAATCTTGGAAAGGACATGATTTATAGCGTAGGTCTGTTTTATTTAAAAGATTTGGATTATATGTTTTAAAAAAGTAATTTTATGATTAATTATTTTTATTATGTACAAATAAAATTGATCCTATCTGTGATTCAAAATAAGTTTTTCAACAAAATATTATGATAGGTATAATTTATTCACATAAAAATGAAAAATATTAACATAATAATTGTGATATAATTTTTTTTCTCATAGATAACTTCTTTTTTCATTTGCTTTTTACTAAATCATCTTTTTCCTTTGTGGTGGTTTGTTACTAATATCCATGTCACTCAAAAATTGTCTTTTACACATTCTCCTGGTCTTAAGTGTAGTTAGTACAACATTACTGTTAGGGCGCAAATCCGGAAGACGTGGGTTCCATTTACGCTGCAGTGAAAATTTTTTCGTCCATTTTATCTACAATTTTTAACACGTGAATCATGTTTATGTGGCTCTAGTTTTATTACGTCGGGCCGAAATCAACCCTCTTTTAGAAGCAATATTTTCGCTGCTTATCCTAATTACTGATTTATTTTATTTACCGTAGTCACGCATCCGTCAGTTAAGTAACTGTGATAGGGCCACGCAGCAGCCTCGGCTTTTGCAAGAATGGGCAGGCTCGTCCGGGTAAGTACCGCGACCTCACAGAAGACCAGCGTAATGTGAAAGTATAATTTCGCGTTTCGTCTGGTGCGTGAGGTAGTCGGAGGCCGGAATCCAATTTTCAAAAGGTTGTCAACGCATCTGCAACTCTCGGGTGTAGCAGATGTCCATGGGCGGCGGTGTTTTCGTGAACCGCCTGCTCGCTTGACAACTTTTCGCACAAAAAATAAGTTCGTAATTAATATAAAAAAAGTCTGACGTCCAAGCCAAGGTCATCGTTCGTGTCAACATGATTTGTCCAAATTCCAGTCGCGACCAAGCTTGGAGCAGGTGATAGCTATAGTGGACTTCATGGAGAAGCACCCGGCGCTCGCCCTTGGCCAGATGAGGGGTTTGGAGAAGCGGGACGAGTGCAAGAAGCTCTGGTTCAGACTCACCAGGATCGTGAACAACCTGGACGGGCCCGACCGCCCTCTGAAATCCTGGGTGAAAGTTGGTATATCCCCATTAGAGCGAATCTATCTTCTACATATACAGCGTGTCGTTACAACCGCGACAATAAATGAACACACCTATAGAGGTTAACTTTTTAAAATTGTATTAAACATTTACATTCTCTAAACATCAATATTTACCGAGTTATAAAATTTTCCAAAACAAACAATTTTAGAACACCCTTACATATAAAACTGTAACGTAAAGTTCATTTGTAAAGGTCACAAAGCATATGAATGGGTTGAATGAATTTAGAGATAAAACATACTGTTAGAAGAAGAGAACTTATAACGCGACGCTGTGGCAACGAATGAAAAGTCTCTGAATGTATGATATGAATCAGTCAGATGTAGTTTATTAGTATATACAGCAAGTCGTTACCATCGCGACAATAAATGAACACAAATATAGGGGATAACTTTTCAAAATTGTATTAAACATTTAAATCCTTTAAACATCAATATTTACACAGTTATTAAATTTTCCAAAACAAAGAATTTTAGAACACCCTTACCTATAAAAGCGTAACGTAAAGTTCATTTGTAAAGGTCACAAAGCAAGATTTACGGTTCCCACAGCGGCGACAATCTTTTCGTACTTTTTCTACAAATTTAATGTTCAATCTTAAGTACAGAGATTAGCACTATAAAAAATTTAAATTTGTAAGAACCATTGGCAACATCTCTCGTTCGAATTATCGTTTTAAATTAGCACTATAAAAAATTTAAATTTGTAAGAACCATTGGCAACATCTCTCGTTCGAATTATCGTTGTAAAACGATATTCAAAATTGTTTGTATGCTGGAAAGGATATAACAATAGATGCGCCAAGCATTGCTTCAAATGCTAAATAACAATATAGAAAGAAGGCGTTAAGATTTTCGTTAGCGGCAATCAGCTGTTTAGCTTAGTGGCTAGAGCGTCAGGCCGCGAATGCCGAATACGTGGGTTCGATTCCCACAGCGGCGCCAATCTTTTCGTACTTTTTCTACAAATTTAACTTTGGTAATCTTAAAAAGAAATAAGGCTAAAAATGTAAGCTTTTAAAACAAAATATTGAAACGTGTACTCTACACACAAATTTCGATTTCTTCTATTCTATTTTAAAATTTCTTCATGTGTTTGAGAAATGGACAATTTAATTTAAAAGATATAGGCCATTAAATATTATCGTAATATTTTCAAAATATATATGTATGTTCAAAATATAAGTATGCCCATATTGCCATGATGACTTATGATCAGCCCTGTAGTCCCTGGAGCAAAGAATAGGACCAAGGTATCCCTTGCCTGTCGTAAAAGGCGACTTAAAGGGGACCTTGGGTTCATATACTAGCAATAGTGCGAAGTGTTCTCGTAGTGTTGCAAGATGGTGAGGGTAACAAGGAAGGTTTATCCTTCTCCGAGGCGTGCGCAGTACGGAGGGACAGCGGTTCGTTATGTAGGAGATCCCTGAGTCCCTCCAAACAGACAGTACAGAATGCGGCCACCGAGGGGGTTTTAGTGGACGAACCCCACTTTCTTCTTAGATCCCCCCAAATAACTAGCATTTACGTTCCTTTCGAGATACAATAAAAATATATTAAGCTATGTCCATTGCTGTATTTGATCCGTGTAATAACTTGTGATATTATTATTTGATTTATTGAACTGTATAAGAATAACAAAAGGATATAGCACGGTACCAATCCTGTAATTTAATAATTTAAAAATGTTACTTTACGAATATGTACATCTTCGAACAATCAAATGCCTTTTTTAATGACTTTTCACGATATTTTACCGATTTTTATTGTTACTGGTATTGGCCGCAATAATGTGAAGAAAATCTCAGTTAAAACTTTAAATGGTATGTTGAACGTCAAAAAACTATGATCGGTTTGCTAAATTAGACCTATACAGAGAATAAACTCTGCGGTCGTGTTATTATTAAGTCATTTATAATTTTTGTCATTCCAGTATTGGGCAGACAAGAAATCTACTATCCGGTCAAAAGTGCAATCGAGCGGCGGTGATCCCAATACGTTGAGTTCGAACATAGAAAAGAAAATTTGGGACCTCTTCTTAGCAGACGATGCCTCGAGTAAGTTTTTTTCTTTCTTTTTTTTTATGTAAAAAGTTGCCAAACGAGCAGACGGTTCACCTGATGTTAAGTGAATACCGCCGCCCATGGACATCTGCTACACCCGAGGGTTCCAGATGCGTTGACAACCTTTTGAAAATTTGGCTCCGGCTACCTCACTCACCAGTCGAAATGCGAAAGTATTTGTCATACTTCCACTTTACGCTGTTCTTCTGTGAGGTCGTGGTACTTACCCGGACGGGCCTGCCCATTCGTGCTACAGCCGAGGCTGCTGTGTGGCCCTACCACCGTAGGTCGTCCTTCGATTCAGATTCCGATTTTTTTAGGATCTTCTACAGATCTCTATCGGATGTGATCAGATGAGAATCAGATCTATAAATTGGCATTGGATGTGATTAGATGTGAATCAGATCTAAAGATATGTGTCTATTTAAACTGCGATTATTGATTTCACGTGCTGGAACATTCCCACTTTGGCCCCCTTTTCACGGCCAACGAACTCCGCTGACCAGAGGTCATGGGAGCCAGTACAGCCAGTGCCAATCTCCACGACTCCTCCTCTGTAGCAGAAAACAGGGAGAGTGGCCCCTTCTCTAACACCCTCGACCTGTCCTGTGCTATAAGCTGGACGTAAGCAGTTATACTTCTTTATCGTAACAAAAGAAAAATAATTAAAAATTTCTCCTCGTGTGCCAGTAGTCCTCGATTGTAAAAAAAACTATACGCGTGTCGTTACAACCGCGACAATAAATGAACACACATATAAAGGATAACTTTTTAAAATTGTATTAAACATTTACATTATTTAAACGTCAATATTTACCGAGTTATTAAATTTTCCAAAACAAACAATTTTAGAACACCTTACGTATAAAATTACCGTAAAGTTCATTTGTAAAGTTCACAAAGCATATGGATGGGTTGAATGAATTTAAAAGAGATAAAACATACTGTTAGAGATTTGTAATGCGACGCTGTGGGAACGAATGAAAAGTCTCTGAATGTATGAATCAGTCAGTTGTAGTGGTATAGGATGTTACAAATTTTGTTTCTTTTTTACTTCATTAGTTTGTTTGCAAAATACTTTTTTTTAGCTATGGATTTTTTTTAACGTTTAAATTTTTTATGATTATTGGCAAGTAGCGTTAGAGGTGTGTTAATTTGTTGTCGCGGTTGTAACGACACGCTGTATATTAAATGGTATTGATGACGGTTGCCATGGTAGCATCATAAAGTTGGTGTCGCGCGTAAAAATTCACTCCCACCCTTATCCCTTAACGCTAGGGGATAATGCTGGGAGTTGGAGACGGGATAACTTCAAAGAATTCGAGCTTCCGCCGTGAATTGCGGTCATAGATAGAATTTGGTCGCAGAGGATAGGGGCGCGGTGAAACAGGAGACCCATTATGCCGAGGAGTCGTTCTACAACGATGACAGCGCGGACCGGAACCACACGGGAACGGAACCGGTTCTTGCTTTCGAAGAGCCCGCGATGGACATCGACGAGCGGCAGATGATCGTAATGGAGAAGTTGGTGAGGCTATGCTTAGTGGTTGTTTAGCTTAGTGTTGGTACTTTGTGATGACCTACGGAACCGAGACGTGGTCCTTCACTGCTGGCCGTATGAGGAAGCTCAAAGTCGCTCAGCGAGCTATGGAGCGGGCTTTGCTCGGTATTTCTCTGCGTGATAGAGTTTTAACGAAGACATCCGCAGTAGAACCAAGGTAACCGACATAGCTCAGAGCAAGCTGAAGTGGCGATGGGCCGGCCATATAGCGCGTAGAACCGATAACCGTTGGGGAAGAAAGGTTCTCGAGTGGCAGCCTCGTACTGGCCTGTGCAAATTTGCGGGAAGTCGATGGATGCAGGTGGCTCAGGATCGTACTTCGTGGCAGTCTGAAATGATGATGATGATGATGGTACTTTAATGTTAATAAACATTTCCAATCTACCATTCTACATATATATCTTCTATATGTGCAAATATTCAGCTTCCGCTTGTGTGTGTCCACAGAAGTCATAAACTAGCCAATGGCTTGACTTTACAGTTGTACACAACATAGCACAGAAAAGGCATAAAATTGTCTATTTTTTAGTCAATAGCGGCAAACATAAGCTCTAAAATGGTGTTTAGAACATTAAATTTGATGAAGAATTATAGATTTTATGGCGTATCGACACGAACACAGGACAAAAACACCTTTGAGAATAGTTAAAATTAAACCGCGATAAAATCCGCTTTAATTTTAACTATCACATCTATCTCTTATCTCTACATAATATACTTCGAAAATAATTATAGCCTAAATAAAAGAAGCTATTACGTAGAGAAGATATTATAATTATAACAAAATTCCTCTGTTCACTTCCGGCCTTCTATTTTCATTTATAAATTTTCACACAGAAAAATTGCCACAATAGACGCTAACGTCACTAATGACATTTATCTATGATCAATGGGATTTTAAAATGTCGATTTCGCATTTAACTGAAACTATTGTATTGTTCGACGAGGGGCTACGGGTGGAAGGTGTATTACCTTACGGTGGTAGGGCCACGCAGCAGCCTCGGCTGTTGCACGAATGGGCAGGCTCGTCCGGGTAAGTACCACGACCTCACAGAAGACTGGCTTAAGGTGGAAGTATAATACTTTCGCTTTTCGTCTGGTGAGTGAGGTGACTGAACCGGAGCCCAATTTTCAAAAGGTTGTCAACGCATTTGCAACCCTCTGGTGTCGTAGATGTCTATAGGCGGCGGTATTCACTTAACATCAGGTGAACCGCCTGCTCGCATGACAACTTTTGACACTAAAAAAAACCTTGAGTTGTTTTGATTCGGCTGAACGGTCAACCTGGCCGTCCAGCCAAATCGGTTAAGGACATGCCACTGATGCCAAGCCGTCTGGCAGGTGCGCGCGATGGGCGAACAGGCTAACGCGATGGCACAGTTGGCACATGCCACCCACGTGGGCTCCCGTGCAATGGATCGCTTAGCCGACGCCGCCCAGATTCAGGTATAAGACTGCACTATGTCTGCATTTCCCCATTATTTACTTGTGGTAATACCACGCACCAGTCTTCGCTGTTGCCTAAATGGGCAGCTCCGTCCGGGTAAGTACCACGACCTCACAGAACACCGGCGTGAAGTGGAAGTGTTATACTTAAAGAAAGAAAAAAGAAATGTTTATTTGGTACAACTTTTTTTTAAATTACAAAAAAACAAAAAAAGAATTGAATGATAGTCAATGCACCAAAATGGTCACCCACTCAGCATTACATTGCGAAAAAATTTCGCGATTGCTGGTTTTCAGTGGAGCCTGGACTTCTGCGTTTCGTCTGGTGAGTGAGGTAACCGAGGCCTGCTTTATTAAAAGGTGACAAGTGCAGGTTTTAAAAATGTCCATGGGCAGTGGTCATCACTTAACATCAGGTTAACCGTCACCTAGTTTGCCACTTTTTCATACTAAAAAGTAATAGAGACTTACACAGGAAATCTTCACAACTTTCGCTTCCAAACCCGACGTAAAAAGAGGGGTGTTACAAGTTTGACGTATCTATCTGTGTCTCTGCGTGTCCGTCTGTGACATTATGGTTCGGTATTTTTGTTTTAACGCTGACATGATCGAGACTCTTAAGCAAAAGTTTGAGTATTTTTGTCTCGGGTGGTTATATTTTATATTATTACTACTCGTTTCTTTTCCAGTCGCGCGCTATCGAGAGGCTGGCGAATTCCTTCGAAGCGATCGGAGCCTCGACTCACGACGTGAGGAACGCTATCGTGGACATCGACTGCACTATGAAACGCTTCTACAGCACTTCGCCCACCTAGCACAGGTTCATGTAGAGCGCCAGGCAGCTGCCAATTGCCAGGGCTGCCAGTAACTCCTACCTAGCACAGGTACAAGTGGGCTGCCAGGCAGCTGCCACTAGCTCCGACCTAGCATAAGTTCAAGTAGACTGCCAGGCAGCTGTCAATCGCCAGGGCTGCCAGTTACTCTTACCTATCACAGGTACAAGTAGACTGCCAGGCAGCTGCCACTAACTCCGACCTAGCACAGGTTCATGTAGGTCGCCAGGCAGCTGCCAATTGCCAGGGCTGCCAGTAACTCCTACCTATCACAGGTACAAGTAGACTGCCAGGCAGCTGCCACTAGCTCCGACCTAGCATAAGTTCACGTAGACTGCCAGGCAGCTGTCAATTGCCAGGGCTGCCAGTTACTCTTACCTATCACAGGTACAAGTAGACTGCCAGGCAGCTGCCACTAGCTCCGACCTAGCATAAGTTCACGTAGACTGCCAGGCAGCTGTCAATCGCCAGGGCTGCCAGTTACTCTTACCTATCACAGGTACAAGTAGACTGCCAGGCAGCTGCCACTAGCTCCGACCTAGCATAAGTTCACGTAGACTGCCAGGCAGCTGTCAATCGCCAGGGCTGCCAGTAACTCCGACCTAGCACAGGTACAAGTGGGCTGCTAGGCAGCTGCCACTAGCTCCGACCTAGCATAAGTTCACGTAGACTGCCAGGCAGCTGTCAATCGCCAGGGCTGCCAGTAACTCCTACCTAGCACAGGTACAAGTGGGCTGCTAGGCAGCTGCCACTAGCTCCGACCTAGCATAAGTTCACGTAGACTGCCAGGCAGCTGTCAATCGCCAGGGCTGCCAGTAACTCCTACCTAGCACAGGTACAAGTGGGCTGCTAGGCAGCTGCCACTAGCTCCGACCTAGCATAAGTTCACGTAGACTGCCAGGCAGCTGTCAATCGCCAGGGCTGCCAGTAACTCCGACCTAGCACAGGTTTTCGTAGACCGCCAGGTAGCTGTCATTTGCCAGGGCTGCCAACAACTCCGACCTAGCACAGGTTCAGGTAGACCGCCAGCCAATTGCTAGGGCTGCCAATTCGTAATAGGACTCTGTTGGTGATCAAACTAAAAGCCGAGACTGCCAAAATTCAAGTGATATTTATTTGAACACTTGAACATTTGAACTTTTGTTAGTAATTATTGTGTTTTTATTAAAATAAATAAATTTTTATTGTTTTTTATACAGTAAAAATAATAAATAATTATACACCTTTACCTTAAGTATATTTTGCCACATTCATAGGTTGTGTTAAATGAAGCTTTTTTTCTTTTCGAGAAAATGAATTGTTCTTTTGCCTTGTCTGATAAGTAAGTATAAACCGGTGATGCAGTCGCTGAGGTTATTAGCACCGATGCCGTGGTACATGGGTTCAAGCGAGTTTCACATTTGAAAATATTCCGAAAATTCAACTATTCAGCTCATATTAAAATTTCATCTTGCTGGCAGACCAGCACTAAATATAAAATAAAAAGAGAATAAACATACTTCTCCGATGTCAACGTGAATAAGAAATTTCCTTTTAAAACTACCACAATCCATTCGATATCAGCTTTCAACCGACTTCAAAAAGGAAGCTCTCAATAAAGTATTTTTTTAGTTCGAAATCTCAGTCATTTATGAACAGCTTTTTTTGCATGGAACTTTTTGATGTGAAACATCTATAGCCGCACGTAAAACCGGCGTATTTCTGGCGTGGCGACGCATGCCGTGGCGACGCGTCGCCACGCTATATGATGGTATATATGTACAGTCTATATGCAGTTATTAATTATGAATTAATTAAATTAACTTTAATTAATTGTGTGTACTATTACCGAAGTCACTGATTAAACGAATTAAGTAGTCGCGATTTGAAATAAATTCGTAAATTTTTGTATTTAATGAAAATAAATGTTTATTCAATAAATAGTCATCGTTATCAGGAAAACAAAATCGTAATATTTTATTTTATTATTATGACATATTTAGTTCCTATCACAATCTGTTCTTTTCTGCATATTACTTTTACAAAATAATGTCGATGTTTCACATCTGCCAGGCGTCCCGTGACGGCTCATTTTTTTTTACGCTAAGGTGGCAAGCGGACAGGCGGTTCAACTGATGTTAAGTGATACCCGCCGCCCTTAGACATCTGCAACACACGTAGGTGCAGGTTTTTAATAAAGTGAGCCCCGGCTACCTCACTCACCAGACGAAACGCAGATGTATCTTGTATCTTGTATTAACTGATGTTTTTGCTTTCAGTCCCGAGACTATTAAAGCTTCATCTGACGCAGAACCGGTGGGCTAGCCAGAACCCACGGTTTTGGGACGCAGTTGTGTAAGTACTCCACTTCGTCTTATGTTAGGTTGTGTTACTTACCCGGATGGAGCTGCTCATTCGTGCAAAAGCGAAGACTGTTGCGTGGCCTTATCACAGAGTACAAAAACATAAAATCAAATAGAAAATGTGAAATGAGTAAGATGTGCGAATTTTGTTTGGTTTTAAATGTTTAACTTGTTTCGACAGACGTTGAAGACGCTTATACACGCTAAATTATGATTTGTATTGAATAAGTCTGCATAATGGTAATGTGTCAAACTTTGTAAAACGAAGCATGCTTCACTAATAAGTGTACATTCAAAGCATACATGTTTACTACTAGGTAGTACGCTGATAAGCATATTACCTAGTAGCGAACATGTATGCTACAGCTATCAGCGTACTACCACTTTACCTTGTTCATAACTGCGGTCAGCTATAGCATACTCCCCACTCTATCTTGTTTACTAACAGGTATTATGCAAAAGTTTAGCATACAACGTAGTAATGAAATAGCATACTGCCAAGTAGTGAAGTTTGTTTTAATAGCAATTTAAGTCATGCCGAAGACTCGAAAGTCTGGAAGTTTATTGGAATAGGATCATATGGAATTTTGTTTCCTAAGAATATATTGTGATTTAGTGATATTTAATATGAGATAAATTGTAATTGTAAATATGTAACATATGCTTTAGCGATAATAAAATTGCCATTTGTATATCCTATTGTTTTATTATGAAAATTGTTTTAGAACGAAACTTAAAAGGCTATATATGAGCACCCGATTGACGAAGTGGATAGTGTCTCCAATACTGAAAAATATTGTGTGATGAACATAGTGTTTTTCTAGTGTCTTGGCGCCTCTCATCTCTAATATATATTTACTTACAAAGAAAATTTAAGTTTATATATATTTATAAGTTACCTCATATATTTACTCATAATAAAAAAAATTGTTTATTTTTTAATTTAACTTTGTGTAAAAATATATTAAACGAAATTAACTACCGAGTCATGACTTCTAGTCTCATATTAATCCGATTTTTTATTCTTTTGATTTTTTTTAAAGAATCCTTTGCGTTAAAGGTAAGTAGGTAACGAAATGTGAAGTTTAAATTAAAAAAAAAATAGTTTCGGAATAACGTTATAAAACAACGTCATTTATTTGGTCAACAGCGTAACAATCACATTTGAACAACACAAACACATTTGCTGATTCGCCTATGTCATCACAGTAGTTATTTAGACTCTAATATTTCGCAATATACTAATTTGGTGTCTGACGAATTACTAAAATTCCCTAAGTAATAAGTTTTCTCGCGATTCGTCGTATATGTCATCTCAAGGAATTTATCACGCGCGACAGAATTTTTGGCGTATTGCTTGCTCTTTGGTAATCCGGTCTCAGGCCCTCTGTGCCTCTTCCGAACGGAGTCTGGGCGTTTGTCGAACAGAAATAGTTGCCTCTGGCCCTGAAAACAAAACACAACAATATTTTTAAATTGTCTGAAACAATTATTACGGATTTATCGCGTTTATTTTTAATTTCAATTACCGACGTTTCGAACCCTTTACAGCGTTCATGGTCACGGGACATACTGTCTGAAAATAAACGCGATAAATCTGTAAAAATTGTTTCATTTATAATGGGAAATCGCGTAAATACAATAAATTATCTTTAAAATTTATAACCCTTATTGTAGGAGAGCATTATCCTGTCTTGTAATGATGTTTTACATACATGAATTTCACGCGGACAAACACCCAGATGCGATACAGCTATCTGGGCAGGGCCGAATTTAGAGGTCTGGCGGCCTCGAGGCAACAAAGGAGTTGAGGCACCTTGGTAGAGCAATTATTTTCCAAATAAAATGAACAATTTTTTTCAGTCGACTTTTCCAATAAATAATTTTATTATTTAACGAACTTTACAATTAACGAATTTAGATCGATAATTTCTGTTAATATTTAATGTAGTAATTCTGGTATTGTACAAAGAACAAACATGAAGGTACGAAATAGGTAAGTAAAACGCGAAAAAAATATGAAAGGAAAAGTTGTTTACTGGTGTTTACTAGTCTGAATTAGATTTTTTTCCTAAGTCTATTGTGGGGACCTTATTTTGGGGAGGCCCCGGGCCACTGCGCCGGTTGCCCTCCCCTAAATCCACCCCTGTGTCTGGGGGGTCATACAAATAGTGGTCCCGTGTGGGATTTGAACCCACGACCCTCGCGCCGATACCAATACCTTGATATCTGACAAAAATAATTAAGTACTTCTAATTAGTATCAATAAGGTCTCACTAAAGTTTTAGTATTTTGATTTTTAAATCAATTAATGGTTAAATATTGAACATTAATAACCATTGATCTACAATGCAATTTTTACCGTATTTATCAAATTTAAAATATTTTTGCCACAAACATGAAAATATCAAAGCTTATTGGAGGATATCATATAGATTAATTCATAAGATAAACGTAATGTCATTAACTAGTAGATTTTGTTACTGGAGATATAATTTTAACGTGAGTATTATGAAGCTCATGTCAAACACCTATCGCTAGTAACAAAATCTACAGATAGATAGAATATTGAAATCGGCCTGAAATCTATTGTTTAATAATCTTTCAGTCTATTATTTATTATTTGTGTATTATTGATTTATGGGGTATTAGACTATTGAGCAACATATTTTTATTAAATTTAAATATTTAATGAGTTGCATACTACGCAAACGAGATAAAATTAGTAATATAGTAATAATAACTATTAAACATTAGCATTAATTGCAAGCGGCCAATACTTTATTTTATCTATCAAATTAATAACAAAATTTAAGAAATTTTATTGAAAAAAAAATTGATTTTGATAATTACATTCGCCATATTATCTCGCTTACTGTTTCATTGTGCATTTTATTTGACTGCTGTACTATTTAAAATGGCATCATTTTATACACATCGAATGGGAAACTTTCAATTCACCGAATGAAAACTACTTTACTTACCTCGTGTTGATCAAATCGCCCATGTACAGAGTTTGGTTGTATCGTTTGTAATCCGTTATCCATGATTGGTAGCTGTCGGAGTATACAGCGGGGATGTTTGTACCCGAAAGCATCGCCTCAACGTAGAACTGCCAGGAGCGATCGTGGCTGCACAGGTCTGGAAAGATGGTTAGGTTCGATGGTGGCAAGTCTCTTTATTCAAAGCTAGGCTAGTGGCGAAGCTAAAGTCTTTACTGAAAGCTAGACTAGTAACGAAGCTTGAGTCTTCTTCAGCGAAGACTTGCGTGGCCCCATCATTAAGACATGGTCGTCCGTTTATTTATTTATTTATTTATCTATAATTTATGCACACAAAATACGTACAGAGGCGGACTTAATGCCATCAACATTATCTACTAATCAACCTTTGGGTGGTCCAGAGAAGTTTAAGTAGGTGCTCTGTTTTTAAAATGAAAAAAAAAAAGAGAGATCATAGAAAAGTGAAATTTATATTCCGTTCTTGATTTGTCCCCTTTTTCATTTAGGAAATGCCTACGCATACTTCCTTTAGGACGGATTATGTATGACTCGCATCGACTAAAACCCTAATGCTGTTCCTGTATCCACGGGGTACACCAAGGCACGGGAACGCTTTCACACACTTCCAACTTTGGCTTCTTCCTGGTGAAAAACCACGTCTACTTATCCCCTCTGTCATGACGAGATCTGTCCTAACGGAGACGACGATGCGCTTACGTTCTCATGGTGGTAGGGCCACCCAGCAGCCTCGGCTGTTGCACGAATGGGCATGCTCGTCCGGGTAAGTACCACGACCTCACAGAAGACCGGCGTAAAGTGGAAGTATAATACTTTCGCGTTTCGTCTGGTGAGTGAGGTGGCCGGACAGCAATTTTCAAAAGGTTGTTAATGCATCTGGAAACCTCGGGTGTAGCAGATGTCCATGGGCGGCGGTATTCACTTAACATCAGGTGAACCGTCTGCTCTCTTGGCAACTTTTCACATTAAAAAAAAATCCTGATATGTCGGTGCTTTTCGTTGGAGATCTTGGAGTCCATTTCAAAGTACTGAGGACGAGCGTACCGGTGAACCGGAATCCGATAAAACCCAATCTTCTTTAGAGCAGGCAGTGTACTCTTCTAATCCACAGAAAGAAGTTCACTTACCGATGAATTTTCATTCGTACGCATCGAATGGGTTAAGACCTCACCTTCACGGCTGAACGTCTGCGTCGGCTGTTTCGGGCAACCGGGCTGTTTCCCCTTCCTCCCGTAGTAGTTGGGCCAAATGTCCACCGTGCCCGTGGACTTGCTGGTGCCGTAGTTGCCGGGGTCCGTGTGGACGATGTCCACGAATCGCGCGCATGTTCGGTCCAGCGGCGTGAAGAAGGCGAAGGCGCCTTCGAAGAGCGCCTTCGCCGGATCCAGGCCCGTTATCCTGGAAGCAGGCGTTTGTTCCTACAGAGTTTCTCTATGGTCGTTCGTGTGAATCTTTAGTTAAGCCTCCGATTGTTCGGAAAGCGTATGGTCGCTTCTTACAGGAACCTCAAATATCCTCCACTGTTCTTCCATTTCCTATGCCGATGTTAGTATTTCTAAACGACGAGTCAGAAGTCACCAATGACTTGGTGTCGCTGCTAAGTGGACAACAATACTCATTGATGTAGTTTTTTTATGTGACTTATGCGATTTTTATTGCAAATCAATTATAATCACCTGTTTTAGGAAATTTTAATATTAGAATTATTGGTGAACGCTATAATCGAGCAGGAGGTTACCTATTCGTAATGTTAAATGTTTACGATTGGCTACCGACATCTTCAATAGATGTACAATTAGAATTGCTAAGAAAGCATGTCGGCTGTATAGCCCCTGTTACCTCACTCACCAGATGAAATGCAAAAGTATTAACACTTCTACACTGAAGTGTTAAACTTCTTACATCGGCCATTTTGGAACAAAAGGAAATGCTCGGCTTAAGAAAAGTAAAATTATGTCTTACGTCATTACGTATTAATATTGATGATGATTATTTTTTTTAGTTACCAACTGCATTCTTTGTTATTATTTTTTTCCTAGATTTTTTTCTGTTTATTTAATTATTTTTAAGTTTAAATCTTCTATTCCACATAATTTGAATACTTGTTGAGAGCATTATTTATGTGTACATGATGTGTTCGCGTATAGTGGAATATTCACTTATGTAATATAGTATATTTTTTTAAACTTGTATCTATAGAAAATGTTCAAGTGTAATGTTCTGCGATCCGAAATAAATAAAAAAAATACTTAACAATCGATCGCTCTTTGACGGGGCGCTGGTTTAATTCAATATACTCGAGCAACCTGAGTTCGATCCCTGGTACCAGCACCATTAAAATTCTTAATTTTAAGTGCTCAGACTTATCACGTGCTCAGCAGTTACGAAAAATATCGTGAGGAAACCTGCATATTTTCTAAATAAAACAATAATAACAAAAAATATTTCGAAGATATGTGTAGTCCGCCAATCCACAGTGGGTTCGCGTGGTGGGCAGTAGGCCCTTTGAACAGAGGAGAGGAGGCCTTTGCCCAGCAGCGGGACATATATAGGATTACTTATTCACAATTTGAAACCCAAAAGTGACATTACCACCGATCAGTGCGAGTGTTGAAATAGCCACTTACCTTCCCACCACTTTCCCTCTCGCCCTTGTGAACCGTCCAGTGTAGCCCATAAGGTGTGCGCCCAACGAGTGTCCCATTAGATGGACATCGTTCAGATCTATTCCGGCGTCCGATAAAGTTAACAAGGCTCTACCGAGAGCCTCGCCTATCTGTAATACGATGACGGGATCTCAATGATGACTCTTTAAGACTTGACATTGATGGAATTGTGTTATATCACAAAGAAAGCCATTAATAAAAAGAAGAAGATTCGTTTCAGTTTAAAGAAGCATTTATTTCTTATCTCAAAACTAATTTATGCATAATAACGGATTCTCAATGATGACTCCGTGGCGCAGTTGCCAAGGTATTGGCTTCGACGCTGGGAGTCATGGATTCGATTCCAATACGATACAACTATTTGTGTGACCCACAAATAATTGTCTCCGATCTACGTTCCAGGATTCTTCTTAATATTTCTGTATGTAAAACGTTCTATAGTGGATAATGTTATCCTACAGTAAGGGGTCAATGTTTTCGAAGAGAAGACTCCAAAAATTTCGCAGGCCAAGGTCGCAGCGGTCGTTGGCACTTATTACCCAACCCCTTCCACAAAAAATACAAATAGGATATTACAGAAGCTTCTACGTTTGTATGTGGTATAAGTTGTTAACTAGCTACTTCATTCACATGCGATTATCATTCATCACCTGGTAAGAGGCCTTCAACGCCCATGGATTTTGTGGCGCGAGGTTTTAAAACTCCTTAAAAGCTTTGCCTTTAAACTAAGAATGGGCCTGTCGAAGCTACCCCATTAAAAGCATTGCTAGCCTTCAAAGCATCAAATGGCACTATTGAAGGTCCCTAAGTCGAATACCTATAGGTCCAAAAATACCACTGGAAGTAAATGATTTAAGTAAACGTTTTTTTTACAAAAGAGTCCAGTGGTGGTCTTCGAACCATTAAAGTGGAATATGTAATAAGTAAATACGTTTACAGCCGTTTTCAATAGCCTATCTATCTGTAGATTTTGTTATTAGAAATAGAATTTTGACGCAAGTATTATGGAGCTAATGTCAAATAACTTTTTTTAATGTGAGAAAGTGGCAAACGAGCTGGCGGTTCAACTGATGTTAAGTGATAACCGCCGCCAATGGACATTTGCAACACGCGTAGGGTTGCAAACGCTTTGTCAATCAATCAATCAATCTCAGGCTCCAGCGACCATCAGTACGTCTGGAGACACGGCCAGCCCACTTACACTTCAGCGTGCTAATTCTTCGCGCAATGTCGGTAACTTTAGTTCTCTGGCGAATGACTTCGTTTCGAATCTTGTCTGCCCGAGAAACCCCAAGCATTGCGCGTTCCATCGCCCGCTGAGCGACCTTGAATTTGTGGACCAATGCGTTGTCACCTTTGAATAAAGTGGGCCCCGGCTACCTCACTCTTCCAGACGAAACGCAGAAGTGTAACACTTCTACTTTACGCCAGTCTTCTGTGAGTCGTGGTACTTATCCGGACGGACCTGCCCATTCGTGCAACACGGAACACTGTTGCGTGGCCCTACCACAGTAAAATACACTTATCGCTAGTAACCAAATCTACAGATAGATTACAATATTCTATATTGAAACCGGGCGTTACCCTTTTAGCATTAGGCGCGGCGGACGTTGCATATGTGATCTGCAAGCCTAGAAGACCCATTTTGGCCTCTTCCTCCCAATCCAGAAGTATCAGGTTCCTCTTCTTTTTGGCCAGGTAAGCGGTCAGGACCGCCGTGGTTGCCGGCCCGGCGGCTCGGCCCTGGTAGCCGAATGTGTAGACCACAGTGGGCCGGGAGCGATCGAGACACGAAGATTGCGCTATCAGTAGAGGGTCCTCTAATGGAGTCAATAGATACTCTGTCAGAGACCTGAAAAGGTTTTTTTTTATGTGAGAAGGTGGCATGCGTGCTGGTGGATCGCCCGATGTTAAGTGATAACCGCCGCCTATGGACATTTGTAACACGTTGGGTTACACGTTGCCTTTGAATACAATGGGTCCCGGCTACCTCACTCACCAGATGAAAGGCAAAAGTTCGTGTAATACTCCGACAGTCCGCAAATTCGTGGACAGATAAGACCACTTTGTCACTTTTTAATTTCATTTGAATTAAAATTTATAATTAGGCATTGGATTAAGTGCAAATGTGCGGGAAGTCGATGGATGCAGGTGGCTCAGGATCGTACTTCATGGCAGTCTATGGGGGAGGCCTATGTTCAGCAGTGGACTCAAACAGGCTGAAATGATGATGATGATGATGATTGGATTAAAACGACATTCGAGAAGAGCGTTGACCTCAGACAGGAGGCTGGTTAAACCAAACCTGGGTAATTCCACTAATAACACGATTCACATCATTCGCCGACCCCACCTAGGTTGAATGAAGAAACACAGAAATACGTTGAATGAAGCTAAATTGGAAACGTAGTTTAATAAAAAACGTTTTTATGATTTTTATGAGAAAATAAAGTAATATGTGTGTAAAGTACCGTAAAGACATTAAATGCAATTTATAGCGGTTTGTTTATATAACTTGGAATTATCGGTAAATGTCAAAAAGTTGTTATTGGTTGCCATGGTAATGCCGTGAAGTTGGTGCTTCGCAACCAACTCCATCATGTCGCCTTTTATCACCATCTCAAAAATATAACGGAAATCGGAATAGAGAGTCTTCTCCTTTTTAAAGTTACAAAGCTTTTAAAGCTACAATTTTATTTATTCTACTAATATAGTTACATAAAACGGACATAAAGTAAAAGGATAAGATTTAATTTAAAGATTTTTGTAGATTACTTTTAGTAACAAGGGCCTCCATTGTACCCATCACTTCTACTTTAAATTTCTGATTTTTGTTTATTTTATTTATGAAATAAAGTATATTCATTCATTAAATTTATCGATTTAATATGACACGTGAAGTAGATTAAATATGGCACCAAATAATATTTAAATCAGTACCAATATTTAAATCAGTTATCTCGATACGTCTCAAGTACTGATACTTCCAATGGCGGTTGTCCTAAAAATTCTGTAGCTGTGATATTATCGGCGTTGTTTGGTTGCATTGTGATACGCGGCAGTGACGCAGCCCAGCCTGTTGGTTAAAGGGTACGTGACTGTGTTTTAAATCACAACAGCCTTTCTTACGTTATCGAAAAACTACCGTACAGCATGTAAAGGGTTTGTGGTAAATGCCATGTGTTATAGGCATACTGAGTAAGAAAAAAAAATCGCGGTAAAATTGCCAGAATACATGTATTAAAAGTTAATGACATATGTATAAATACATATATTTATTTTTTATTTGCAGCCTGTACTAAATACAAAGTTATTATATTATTAGTTTTAAAATTAAGACGTATTATGCAACTCTGACAACTTGCAGAACTCTGACAACTCTGCAACCGATGAAGGCAAACGGTGACTGAAGGCTGACTTTAAATATTTTTACGCCAATTATGTAAAGGCCTTCTGCTGTCTTTATGTCTTTTCAAAGCATTATTTTACTATCTGTAAAATTTGTAATTGCTCGTTATGCGCGTAATATACTTTTCAGATGCCTGTGTTCATTTGTCACGTCAGTTCGGCATTATAGTTGATTCGTTTCAGTTCAAAGACGCGTTTATTTCTTATCTCAAAACTAACTTATGTATAATACCGTTGTAAATTCAATTCATCATCACAAATGACAATGGCGAAATCTTATGTAGGAAAAAATTAAGCGTTTAAAAAATTGATATCCAGGTTTTTCAATATAATTATTTTTCACAATTTTTCGGGACATTAACTTCAGTTGTTAAACTATGTATAAAAATATGTGTTTATTAACAACTCAATTGACTTTTTTGAGCTCCATTTTGGTTTCATAAGTTTGCGAGTATAACTTATGACCAGGGTAGGATTTTACTGTAATTATAGTATTTATACTATAATTTAATGCTTCGTACTATATACTATCCATATTTAGGGAAATATACTATAATTTTGTTACTTTATATAAAAGATCAATATAAATGCCAATCCAACATTAAAAGAGGTTTTTGGGTTGTAATAGCGTTGTAATGTTTACAAGAATACAAAGTGGATATTACCATATGTCATTGTTAATTAGTACCATGAATTATTTATTTATCAATGAAACGTTTACGGGGAATTCCCGTAAAATTTTTTTTCTATACTTTGCTTGTTGAAGAGTATCTTTGCACTATTGTGTGCATATTGCACTATGAGGTAGGTAATAGTGTTCATAGATGTCTAATAGTAAGACTAATTTCCTAACCTAGGATAAAAATAAATATAATCCAAAGACGCCTTTTAATTGTGTTGTGAGGCTATTTAAGATGGTAAAATAGTGGAATTTGTACTGAATTAATTCCTACTCAGGATATGTTAAAAAAATTAAATTGCAAGGTTGAAACTAATGTTGAAGAATTGATAAACTTGGAGGATGAGTAAATTGATTCCTGTAAAAACAAAATAATAAAGTGTACTATAATTTCTTTTAAAAATAATATCCTTTTCAATTTTTTGTACTATCTTTTTCATCATACCTAAATCCAATCCTGCTTTTGACATTGACATGTTAATTTGCACCAATCTGTCATTTATTATTCAATATTCACTGCTTTTTTGCCTTGTGTACTTATAAGAATAAGATAAATGTGATTTTCCTATTTTTATACAACCCATACTGCATATCGGAGTCAAATTTTGCTTCGCTACTGGCAATACCATTTGTGCATGCTCAAAGACTTCGATTGATTGCTTGCACGGCGACCTTAAGCTGTTACGTTGGACTATTGGATGTGCTTTAATATTTCGATTAGTTGTTATTTTGTTTACTATTGTTAAAATAGCGACACGAATCCTGTGTATCAACTGCAACATATGTGTTAGTAAACTATTTTGTTATCCTGCCCTGGTGCACAATACAACAGCCACAGCCACAGAAAAGCTGTTATAAATGTCAAATGCATTGATATAAGCCCAATTTTCAAAAGGTTATCAACGCATCTGCAACCCTCGGGTGTAGCAGATGTCCATGGGCGGCGGTATTCACTTAACATCAGGTGAACCGTATGCTCGCTTGGCAACCTTTCACATAAAAAAAAATATTATATATACAAATAATAAGTGGATATGGCACTAGCGCACGGAAAATGAGGCATTCAAATTACGCCAATTTGTGTAAATACATTGCAACTTTATAGACTGCTATCTCTTTCCGTATCATACGTTCTATATCATCTGTCACATTCGCCTACATATGTCAAATGTAAAGCGTAACAATTTTTAAACGCCGTCCAGTATAACCTAAAAATAAAAATATTGAAAATGTAATATCTTTATTGTTAGACTTTCTCCAGTTAAAATTCTTAATATAAAGTTGCTTAAGAGAGAGTAATGAACATTTTCAGATATTTTGACCTCTAAACGCTAAAATTTTATCCCAACTAAAGTCATGTATGGGAACCTGCCATGGTTCTTTGTCCCATAACTGCCTTCGATTAACTTAGACACATCTATGATAACGAGTAATTATTGATTTAGACGGAACTTCGAATGACTGATATGAATGAACACGATCCTGCGCCAATTCCATATATATCTAGTACATACCGAGTCACATAAATACTTGTCACCGGTTGGGAATCGAACCCACAACCTGCGTTAAAGTCTAGCAACGCGTCGAGTAATAAATCTAAAAAATCCCTAACCTAACCTAAAAAAGTGTACATTTTATTTCAGTTTTATAATCTCTCTTTTCTCGTCTTTTCTTCCATGTCAGTGCAGTTGTGCAATTCCCTCCATCTTTGTCTCTCGTCCCCTTTACCTTCCTTTACGACCAGGGCCGGATTTAGGGGAGAACAACTGGGGCAACAGCCCCAGGGCCTCTACGAACAAGAGGCCCTCACAATAGAGATATCGGAAAAGAAAAATTCAAATTCAGACTAATAAAAAATAGTAAAAAAATAAAAAAAAATTATAACAAAAAAAATACTAAAAAAAATTCATATTTTTTTCGCGTTTTACTTTTACCTACAGTACTTTGTACAAACATGATTACATAAAATATTAACAGAAATCAATCCAAAATAATTTGGGGCCAAGGGGCGTCCACTGCATTGTTGCCCCGAGGCCTCCAGACCTGTAAATCTGGCCCTGTTTACGACTTATAATAACAATTGATTTTTTTCAATTAAAACGTGCCATAACAAGAATCGAATAACTAAAATAACGATTAGAAACTAGAATGGCAGATTCTTCATAAACAACTAACCGGTTTGTGGCAGCGATTCGATAACGCGAAGAAAGCGGCCGTAACAGCGATTATGTATGCGAGCGGGATCCAACGTTACCTAATCAAACTGTCCTGATAGTCCAATTGCCGGAACCTTGAGAAGGTTGCAAGTGTTACGTCCAATATTTAGAAACTGTCATTCGTTTGTTCTATGGGATTCTGCAATGTAGTCGCGACAGTGTGCAGTGTAGTCTTTCGGTAGGACTAACATCATTTTTTAACTGATGACTACTGAACAGCAGTGAGGAGCACTTTGCAGGCGTTGCTAACCGCTGAACGATATGTTTCTCCTGTTTACCTTGCGTCTTTTTACCGGAGCTGTTGTGAAGAGTTTGCTCTCTTACCGTAGAGGTAATGACGTCATAGAGGACGGCTTAATCCACGGACCTTACACGAACTGTTTTAAGGTGTTTCATACGCGTAGAATGATTTTTAATGTGAGAAGGTGGCAAGTGAGCTAGCGTTTCACTTGATGTCAAGTGATAATCACCACCCATTGACATTTACAACACCCGTAAATGTGGTTGCAGTTACTTTGCCACCTTACAATAAAGTGGGCCCCCGCTACCTCACTCATGTCATGGTGCTTACGCGACTGACCTGCTCAATAGCGAAGTTCGTTCAAAATCTCTTATATGAAAAAAAACCGATAAAGAAAAACTGATTGGTGCAAGCCAGACAGCTTAGATTCAAAACCGCGACCTTACGTTGCAACTCTAATGCTTCACGCACTGAGTTTCAAACGCACCACTATCTCAAATGTTACGTTAGTAACTACCTCGTTTCATTAGCATATCGGATCTTAATTCTTAAGTAATCCGCAACAATAGTTATTCGCTGCAGATTACTCTCTAAAGAGTGTAGTATAAGCATCATTTGAATGCAAATACGATCGAACATTATTTGCATTTAAACTGCAAACGTCTGTTTCTGTTAGCGCATTGTCGAAAGTAGTAACGCTATAAATATTGGGTAATTTGGAAGCGTCAACAATAGACCTGCATAATAACACTAATGAACTAAGTATGTAACATACATGGAATACTTGTAAAAATTAAGTTTATAAGAGACATTTTTCATTCATTCTGTAATAACAGACATTTTTCAATAATTGATCGTTAGAATACCTCGATAATCGACTTCTAAAAAATACCCTAGGTTCTAACTCCGACTTTATAGCCTAGGCACGTTAGCTACACTACACATTATTTGACGATTTGGTTTGGTTTGATCTATTTATGCTTCATCAAGACAAAAGTCCTCCTCACCTAGGTATGCATTTTAAAGCACTGAGACATCGTAAATACACAGAAATCGAAATTAATTGAAATTGTTCTAAAAATATAAATCAACGCTGTTTTTAAAGGTGTGAAAATGGTGCTAAACCTGTAGTAATTCTTCAAAATAAAAAAAAAGTCACTGAAGCGACATAAATCACATTGGCATGCTTTGAGAATTTAAATGAGCCCAGCAGCTATTTTAGACTTCAAATAAAGAATTAGTAAGTTGAATAATTAGTTAAAACGGTTGGATAAAAATACTCTCACTTACCCTTTGTAGCATCTTAACCACGCAGACTGTGTGCATTTCAAGACACCTGTAACATTGAAATTAGTTTCAGAGGCTATTTAAGATCGATCTTTTGCCTAGTGGTTATTTTCGTAAGGTTCAAATGTTGTTACTGTTATTTTAAACATGAAGTAAGGTACATGGATTTAAATTTTGAAAATACTGTAAAAATGTCTTACAAAATTCATTGTAACACTTTTAACTTGGCAAAATAAAAACAAAAAGCAAATTATTATATATATTAATTGTTTTAAATTTAAATAACATAACAGTTATTGTAAAAATAATAAAATGTAAGTGTTGTAGTGAAAACAGAAAATGTATTAATGGAACATAAATAATGGTAATGTTTAGGTTTTAAAACAAATTTTAGATATAAGTACCTAAATTAATTTATATTTTTCGTTAAATATAACTTTACAAAAACTTTTTAATTGAACAAACTATTTCATGTAGTTGGTTTAACTATAAGTGTATTAATATAATTATATTAATACATTGCAATTATATTATTTTACAATATTTTTTTATATAAATAACAACATTTAACGTACCTAGAAAAATCAAAAAAATCCATTTAATTGCTATCTGTTGACCAAGCATTGCAATAAAACAAATCACAACGATGTCTATGGCACAATTTGCCGTTGGTCACACACAATCGAGCGTTTCGCGCACTGGCATTTGACTGATTCGGAATAATAAAGGCGGGGCGGCGGTTTTATTTAAACCAAAAAATCAAACGCCCGTGTGGATGAATGCCCTCTATATTCGATGCAATTGTATGCTAATACGACAGGCGCTTCTTCAACGTGTGTCATAAATAACACAACGACAATTCGGTTCGTTTTTTTTATACCAACAAAGGAGGCGAAGGTAAAACGTCTGTTTGATAATTAAGAATATAGATAAGTAAACTGCGTTATTAAGTTTTATTTTTTAAATAATACTTGTCAACGTAATTATTTTTGATTCGCAAAAAAATTCTTGTTCAACCACCCGAAGATTTTTATAATAGTGACGATCTGTGCAAATGTACAGAAAGTCAATGGATATAGGTGGCTCAAAATAAAAATTGTCTTAAGTCACATAAAATTGTCAAAGCGTAGCTAACTTTTTACAGGACAAAAAAGCTTGGCTTCAATCTTTTTGTTTTGTATGCAAAAACATAACTACTACTTAACACAAACTACATTTAAAACTAGCTTACATTTCAAAAATGAAAACCTGTGAGCAATTGTCAAGGATATTTATATTAAAAAAATGCTCGAAAATTAGTTATACCTAATAATTATTGTATTTAGGCGATTCTAAATGAAACTGTATAAACGGATTTATCGCGTTCATTTCTAATTTTACTTCCAGATGTTTCAGATTCTTTTCGGCGTTCATGTCATAGTTACTTATGAATGTCACACTTTGTTCACGTCTGAATGTCATAGGCCCGGGTTACCGCCAGTTTTTAAGCTTTTAAATTAGTTCTACATAAAATTAAAAGGAGAGATCTTCTGACAAAAATTAAATTCACTGGAAACCTCGCCTGGATGTCATAAACACGCTGATTGATGTTAATTAATATTGACAGAAGTGCTTTTTCAATTTTTTTCTTTTATCTTAGAAGCTTTATAATTTTTTTCGAAAATAAAGTTTAGAAAAGTTTACTTTTATAGGAGCATGATGAGATGTTTAAATTCGTATTTGTATTAAAAATTTTACTGGTAAATCTATTTAATTTTGTTATTACAATAAATTCGACACAGAACCATAGGGGTCTCTAATATAAAGAGTCCGTGTATCAATGAAATTGTTTTCTTTTAACTGTTTCAATACGATTATAAAGCTTATTTATTCCACAACATGAAAAAGGGTGTTTATATTATCGTCGTATAGTTTACCGGACACTATTTAATTATTGTGAGTGGTTTTGGACGTTCATTGCCGTTTGCGTTGACCACGATTAAGTGTTCCAGTATGAATTTTTTTCATTATTATATTTTGTTTCGTTATAACTTTGTTATACATAATTAAAGTTATAACAAACTAAAATTACTCTTTTATTTACTGATATTTTTGTTTTCAGTCCCGAGACTATTAAAGCTTCATCTGACGCAGAACCGGTCGGCTAGCCAGAAACCACGGGTTTGGGCCCCTCCACTGTGCTCATGCGTGCGTTTAACTATGGTGTGTCATCTAATCGCCATTGAGGTCGCGGTTCGGACCGAAACCCCGTTGACTGTGCAATTAGTTAATCGGTGGCTGGGAACGGTGAGAACCGCCCTGGAACGCGGGTGTACCTTGTGTACGCGTTGTGTTGGTCTCGTCGTCCTCGGAGGCGAGGGCGAACTGATGTGTTTGTTGTTCCACTAACTGTGGGTGTAGTGTTATTCGGCGCGATACCTTGTCTTGTATCTTGGTCTTGCGTGCTGGTAGTTGTCCGCCGTAGGATACCTAGTGGGAGTCGCAGGAGCGACTATACTGAAATTTAGGTTATCGGATAAGCTAAAGAGATGCTTTCCGTTGTTGTTTGGGATGCTGTTGATGTCCCATGAGCCGTGTTTGCAGTTTAGATCTCCTGCACTTATCACGGAAGGGCCTAAGTTAAGAAGCGTATCTAGGTCGCTTTGAAGGAGGGTTCTATTCCCCGAGAGGTAGGCTGAGACTAGTACAAGCGGCCTGTGGCCGGTGAGCGCTAACCTACACGCGGATGCCTCTATTTGACTTAGCTCTGGAATGTCGAGTGGGCAACAGTGCAAGGACCGTTTATAGTAAATTAGTGTGCCTCCCAGACGGTTTGCTAACCGATCGTGGCGGACAATATTGTAATTTGCGATTCTGGGATCGCGTACACTAGGTTTCAAGAATGTCTCTTGCACTAGGAAAATATCTACGTTATAATCGCGAAGGAATTCCGCGATTTCATCCCTTTGACCCTTTATGCCGTTTGCGTTGAAATACGAAACAGCCAGAGCCCGAGGTTTTGTTCTACCTGCGGTTGTACTTCCCATTAAGGTGTTTTTATGGGTCTAATTAACGAGGCGGCGGAGCGCGGTTTTATTGCGCGGACTATTGTTTTTTTACGGTTGGCTCGTAAAAGCCCAAAGGGCTTCCACAAGCGTTTTGTGTTGGCTAATTGCCCTAAGACGCTCGTGGCCAGATGTGGCGGCCGCTATTTTTCCGGACAATACGGCGAGTTCCTGCCTATTGATTCTATCTAATAAGCTGCAGATGTTAGCTATTTGCGCGAATGGGTCGTCCTTGTTTTCCGCGAAAACTGACGGAATTGGCTGCACCTGCGGCCGCGGCGCCGTTTGAGAGGCGGGCAGCTGTTGCGTGATCGGTCGTGAGGCGACCGGGATTACCAGCGCGGTTACCTGCGCAGCCACCTGGGGTTTCGCCCAGGCGTTTACGACGGGTACGGGCGTGGGAATGAATCTAACGGGCGCGGGTTTGGGCAACGTCGATTTCGCGGGAGATTTCCTAGCGGGAGTTTTCGGGGCCTTAGCGCAGCCTCTGTAGCTAGCCGGGTGGCCGGTGGCGTTACAGTTTACGCAGTCCGGTGGATCTGCGCAATCTTTCGGCCTCGTGCACTCGGTTGTGCCGTGGTCACCGGTGCATTTGACGCACCTTGGTTGAGCGAAGCAGTTATTGGCCGTGTGGCCAAAATGTTGACAGTTGTGGCACTGTGCCACAACACCTGATTTACGTGGGGGCTCGATGACTAAGTCACTGAGCCCACAGACCCTCTTAAGGTTGAAAATGGCCTTACCTTCCGGGGTAGGGTCAAGTTCCACCATGACCATGTCCATAGGGACACGGGTGCGAGGGTGCCTGAGACGACGCACGGCTTGAACAGGGTATCGAAATGGTTCGTTCGCGGCGGCGGAAGTCGACGCGACGGGCGTATCAATTGTCGCAGAGGGCGACTCGATGACTGGCGCAGAGGGCACCGGAGATGACGGCGAGGCGGCAGCCGGCGGAGGTGAAGCCGGACTGTCGCTAGAAAATTCGACGACGATGCGTCGTTCCCTCGCGAAATTCAAATATTTTACCCATAATTCAGGGTATTCTTGACGCCGGAATTCCTCTATGAGGGAACCCATGTCGACGCTTGAGGCTTTGGGGCTTGCGCCCCGCCGGCGTGTGGTTTTCTAAATAGGCCTCCCCACCTTGCGGCAGGGAGGTGTGTGCCTAAAATTAACCTTTAGTCGCCTGCGCTTTAGGTGCGCTAGGGTGAGTACCTAGCGGTCGCCTAATGCAACAAGCACACAGGTAAAAATTACAATGCCGCCTCTGAGACGAGAAATGTGTGTAGATTCTATTTACGGGCAGGAACCTGCCTACGAGCACAACACTACACTAACACTATCCGCTAGGAAGTCGGGCAAAGTTTCTTCTTTCTTCTGTAATGTTTTTTCTTTCTTCTATAATTTTTCTTCTATCTTCTTGCTTGAGACTTCCCTAACCGTAGACCGCGAAACACGACAACGATGAGGAGAACAGTGCACACCAAGAAAGATAATAAATATATCAGCAACAACGGTTGCAAGATGGCTTCCGGGCGCGATACCCGACGATAGGTTCGACGTATCCGAGTCCCCTTCCTCGACCGGGTCGATGAGGACGTTTTGCGGGCGACTCTTATTGACGTTCGCGTTTGTGTCGGCTTGGTAATTTGCTGCGCTTACCACCAGAGGGTTCGGATGATGTTCGGCTCTAACGAAGAACCGTTTGGTCAGGTCTTTAAAATATTCGCGAATCGTCGGGAGTCTGCAATCGCTGTGCAGGTCAACGTTGCGTTGATACCACTACGCACCGGTTGCGCGGCGGATGAACTTATCTTGAACTATTTGCAACTTGTTGATGTGGGGTTTGTATGGGCGAAGATCGTGCATGCGTAGGACATGATAGGCCGTACGCACGCTTTATATAACAGTAATTTGTGCCATACGGGCATTTTACTTTTGTCATTAGTTAAATTGTGGAACTGGCCGGAGACGAACGCGGCTCTATTACGGACG